TGGCCTCCAGTGTCTGCATGGGTATACCTGTGGCAAGCCATGTAATGAGCTCTGCGTGCCCTGTCGAGAGAAGTGCCTGTGGAAGTGCTCACATTACGAGTGCACGAAGCTGTGTTATCAGCCTTGTGACCGTCCTAGATGTGATCAGCCATGTGAACGGGAGTTAGAGTGTGGGCATGCGTGCCAGGGATTGTGTGGCGAGCCCTGTCCCCTGTGCCCGGTCTGTTACCATGATGTGGCATGTGGTATTTCCTTTGAGGACATTGGCTCGGCGGTGGCGACTGGGGGTAGGGTCTACACTCTACCAGAATGCGGTCACACCTTCTACTTGGACGGTCTTGATCAGTAAGTAGCCTTGCGGCGTATCTTCGCACCGCGAAGATTTTGGTTGATTGTCATGAATACGTGTGTTTAGATATATGGAGTATAATCCTACTCGTGGAGAGCACCAGGCCATTCAGTTGAGGGCATGTCCGGTATGCAGAGAGCCGATATTCACCGCTCCAAGGTGGGTCGGTTGACTGCGAGGGAGGTCAGGCTTGAGATGCATTTGTGAGCGTCGTTGAGTGGGCTCACTCGTGTTGAGTTGTATGTTCACTTTTCTCAGCTGAGCTCAGAAGTTTCCTGAATAATAGAAGTTTACATATAAGAATTTTCGTATACCTCCTCAGGATTTTCATATTAGAACCAACATATGTGGTTGACCATATGCATAGTTTTCCACACTGTACTTCACTTTAGTCGTTATCAGATACGGTAACATCATCAAAGCCCAGTTGGAGCTGGTGGCTAGGGTGAAGGAAAGGCTCATCGTCGCCTCGAGGGAGTTGACTCTCCAAGACCGTCAAGAGATCAACAGGGCGATGCAGAGCGAACGAGGAGTGCTAGGGGCTGCTGCCGGGCACTGGTACGCATGTCCCAATGGGCATCCTTACTTCATCGCTGACTGTGGTGGTGCCAATCAAATAACGAGATGTCCGGATTGTGGGGCATCTATAGGGGGAAGGAGTTACAGAATCGAAAGTGGCAACCGCTTTGTTGCCGACTTTGCGGGGGAAAATGCAACTCCACAGTGGCCGAACCAGGGAGAATGAGGTTAGAGACTCTTGGTAGATCAGTCGTGATTTTCTTATTGTTCTCGGAGTTGCGCTTTTTAATAGGAGTGTCGACATCATCGTTGGTCCGAAAGTGGGTTAAAACGTTCAAATATTCCCTCTCTTGGTACATCACAAGCCAACACGGCCGTGTACTTCGTGTGTTCCTTCACTCGTCTTTTTTGTTTTTTTGTAAACTTCGTTTGAATTGGCTGTTGACAGAGTAATAGTGTCAAATGGCTTCCTGTGTTGATATGAGAAGCTCTCAAGACAGTTACTGTGTTGATCATTCTATCATCTGGGTAAGAGGAGGAAGTGTGTGTAGTTGGAGGTGAGCGAGAGTTGCGGATTGTTGATGAAGGGTTGTCGGGATGCTCTGGTTCCTCAGTAGTTGAAACAGTGGGGAGCCTCAGAGGCAGAAACGTTCGAGAAGGTCCAATCGTCCGCCCGATCTGTGATGCTTATTGGTCATAGGCTTGTGGGTCTTCGGTGCGAAGAGGCGGAGCTCGCTGAGCTTCTTATCAAGAATTCAGCGGGCTGCTATTGAAATTATTTTGGAAATTGGGTGACTAAAAAACAAATAGTGCAGTAACATAAGCTCCGCTCGCTCGCTCCGCAATTCAGGATATGCCAGCTGTGACCAAAAGAGTTCATCATGTGTAGTTGTTATGAGTGTGTTGGAGAACAATTGCTTGTTTGCCTGATGACGCCATCCTGCCGCTGTGATGAGGATGGTCTCCAGTGTCCACGAGTTCACGTTGTCCGTTCTCCCATGCTAAACCGGTCTGTTACCCCTTTGAGAGGGTAAGTGTAGGATGGTGACACGTGTCTCAATAGTTGAAACAC